CCTTTGTCTAGACCCTGCGTGTAGGTCACTTGACCTCTGACCAAGTGTTCTTAATACTTCATTGGCAAATAAATGGGAGGCCCTAATCTTGATTGGATACCACATTATCTACCTTGACCTTTCACATTGTCTATCACATGCTTTCCTGCCCAATCCCTATTTCCGTACTACCAGCACATGTCTTTTTTATCATCTCAGCTGATCACCCTGATCACTTTGATTATCTTTTTTTTACGCAATGACACTGTTCTTAGAGATTAATATTGAATTTCCTCATCTTGTCCAATTAGCTTAGACAAGAGTTGCGTCCCTTGAATTGCTGATTAAACAATGGCGTCATGGTCACTGACCCCTATCCACTGTTCTTGATTATGTTAACATTATGATTATTCTCTTATGTACTGATGTGATCATATTGACCTGCATTGTTTCTAAGTGTCAATTGAATTGATGGCTATGCTCTAGGAGAAAACACAATGCCCTTTTATATGAATACACTGGCTTAGCATTGTTCAGCGAGACCAACCGTTGAATGATTACCCAGGAAATCAGATAAAGATCTTGCAGCATGGAGGAATCAACGATTCGGATACAGCAGCAGACAGGAACCAGTCGGTATCTCTAGCTGCAATGACGCTGAAATAAAAAACACAGAGCTTAATGTAATTCATCCTGTCTATCCCCACGGTGTCTAGCTAAAATTATTCTTAATTCAACTGCAGTATTTCAGCTGGAGCTGGCTCCTTCCAAGCTGATGCTCATGCTAGCAAACTAAAACGATCAACAGCACCAAGGCATAGAGATAAGTTTCTGAGACAACCACCAAATACAGGAACATATGAGCTATGTGAAACAAACAATAGGGCATGTACATATTTGTACAGTCAGCAGTCAATAAGATGATTTAATAATATCATTTATCTTCACTCATAAACAGGTTACTTTAGTATTTATCTTTATTCTTCTCACCATTGTCATCCCTTCCCTTTTTACCTTTTATTACACTAAAAATTTATATCTTTTTTTAAACTAAAGTAATTTTGTATGCTACCTGTGTGTACAGTCTATGGTGGCGTTTAAAAGCTCTAGACCTAATGGCACCAAAACTAATTAATTTAGTAATTAATTGATTTTAATTACATGCACCCACACCCCCAAAGTCGCATGACAACGGGGGCTTTTCCCAGTGGCACAGGACAGGAACTAATCAACAGGTGTAGTGTGGAAATCATTTTGGATTACTTTATTATTTTCTTCACTTTCAAGTGGTTGAAAAAAAATCTAAAATCAAATTTGTGGGGAAAATCAGTTTTGGTCTTGGCAGTGGTTTCTAAAAAAAAAAAAAAAAGGTATTATGGATGCTAATCAAACAGCTTTAATATTTAAAAAATAAAAAGTTCCCCTTTCAGACCTTGTGATGTATAGGGCAGATGATATAAGGGTCATCTGTTTATGTGGCCTACGGTTAACAACGTTGTTATGTGGCCAGCACACCGACCAACCGCCTTTACTTTTCCCCAACTAATGTCAGGTACCCATTAGAGCTGGGTGGACTCAGAGGCGCCCAAAGATACGGAAATTAAAAATCCCAGTCTCCACCAGGATTCGAACCCCATACATTGGTTTGGAAGCCAATCGCTTTACCACTCAGCTACCAATGCTCCCAGCTTTAATATTATTGCAAAGTAATTTTATCAAATCAAAATTCTTTCAATGAAAATGACAGTGGACTAACATTACTTTATAACACTATCTTTCATCCCTTTTTGTCCTGCAGAGCTACTCAAGTCTGTCATTGGCATTAAACAAAGTGAAGATATGGTGGATCTGTTTCTAAATAGCATTGAAAAACAGCAACTAAACAAGTGAGCAATTTTTTCTAAATTTATTTTTCACACTTTTTAACCTAAATTATAAAAAAATTATAATAACTATTTTATAATTGTCTCAAGCCTACCAAAAATTAGCATCAATGTAATGTTAGTTTGTGTCACCAATTATCCATTATGTCTACAATACTGTAAGAACCAACACTATCCAGTCTCACTTCAAGCACACCATCCATCTGTTTTTACCGGTATCATTGTATCACTGTCTAGTGTTTCTGGTCTCTCTCTCTATAGCATTATTATCCAAGCTTTGTTTTTCTCTTCTATAACATGTCTGCATTCGTCATCATACCATCTGATTCTCCTGTTCCTCTCTTAAATCTGACTACCTCTTCTGGGTATTTTGTAAGTTTTTAACAATCATATTGTTGTGTTCTTTTTCTTTAGTGATTGTATAGAGTTCTTACTCTTTTTCCAAATTTGGCTTTTACAAGTAGGTGGTCTGAGTCAGCATCTGTTCCTCTAAAACCTCTTACAACTAGTATATCAGATCCGTGCCTCTTGTCTATGAGTATAGAATGTATTTTATTTCAGGTGTTTCCATTCGGTGAGATCCAGGTTGCTTTGTGAATATTCTTCTGTTGGAATTTAGTGCTGCTGATAGACATTCCTTTTCCTGAGGCAAAATGCACTAATCTCTGTCCATTATTGTTGGTCTCTTCATGTAAGCTTCCTTTGCCGAATGTTAGTATTAATGAAGCTTCTTTTCCAATTTTTGTCACTGAAAGTACTATTTTGATGTCATGCATTTTTGCCTCATTATAAATTCTTTCTAATTCATTAGTAGGGGCAAAGAATTACCAAAGAATATTATATAGTTTGTCTATTGTGGTTCTATGATGACTACTTTTGTCATCCAGGGGGCTGAGGGCTTTGCACTGGGGTTTTGTGCCTCCTCATGTTAGCCCGAAATGTTTGGCTGCACACTGGGCAGGTTATTCCAGCTGGAGCTAGTATCATAGGCCTTGCTTTTTTCTCTAATGCTTTTCTTCTGCCAGCACTATTTCCTTGTCCTCTGCAATTTGTGTTAAAAGCGCAATGCCATGGTGCTCTGTCTCCCAGATGGCTTGGTCAATGCTAAAGGCTTTCAGAGAAGCTTTGAGGGTGTCCCTGAAGCATTTTCTTTGTCCACCTTGTGAGCACTTTCCTTCCCTTAATTGGCCATACAGGAGACATTTAGGGATGCAGCGGTCTTCCATTCCGCAGATGTGTCCTGCCCATCACATCTGGGACTGCATCAGGATTGTGTGGTTCTTTAAAGGACTAAGGTATCTGGTATTTTATCTTGGCATCTAACATTCAGTATTTTTCTGTAACAGGTCATGTGGAAGTGGTTCAGTTTTTTTGCATGTTTTCTATATATTGTCCACGTCTCTGAGGCATGTAGCAATGTAAGGAGGATGACAGCTCGATAGACCCTAGCTTTGTGTTCGTGGTATTTCATCTGTTCCAGACATTCTGCACTGACCTTGGCTATACGCAGGTCAATTTCATTATCGAACTTTCCGTTTCTAAAGAGTGTGCTGCTAAGATAGGTGAATCTTTCCACTGCATTTATACCATGTCCATTAATCTTAATGCTTGGATCCAAGTAAGCTTTGCCTGGAGCAGGTAAATATAAGTCTTTTTTTGTGTTTATAGTGAGGCCAAAGTCTGAACATTCTCTTGAAAAGTCACTATAGGTAATAAATTACTTTGTTTGGTATCTCAAACAAGAGAAAGAAATAGTACTTGACTGAAGTGGGGGTATAAGCTGAAGTAGTCTCCTTTATAGATTGTTGTCTGAGGCTTATAATAAATTTAATTACATGACTGATCCAAACTAATTGATACACTTAACATAAGCTTTGTTTTTTTAAAAGTATTTTTTTGTATTTTACTTGTTTAAACCTGATATTCAATAGAAGTGAGTTTATACTAAAATTGTAGTCTGTTTGTTTAAGGATCAAGTTCACTATACATTTGTAATTTGTGACAAAAGAAACATCAATATTTTATTCACATTTCATAGCTTGGTTTGCATATTATTTTGGAAAGATGAAGCAGACAAAACAGTTTCATGATTCTTCGCACCTTCTCAAGATGTCCCTAACAGTGGCGTAGCAAGGGATTTGGGCGTCCGGGTAGCTTGGCCTCTTTAAGGGCCCCTGCATTTTAACATTCAACATCATGACATGATTTAATGTACTTAATAAGTATATGTCTAATGTGTGGAATATATGCAACATGGTCACTAAGTTACATAACAACATGAACAGCAAGATAACATGGCATTGGCTTAATATTTAATGTAAAAAAAAATTCTGACATACATTTGGGGGGTCGGGGGGTGGGGGATTTTCACCATCTCCCTAGCTACACCACTGGTTCCTAAAGTGAATGTGAGAGAATTTGAACAAGACAAACATAAAAAATACTTTTTAAAAAAATAAAGGGGGGGGGGGGGGGGAGGAGAAAGAATTGGATATCTGGATGAATTTTACCCTAATCACTTTTTAAAAAATAAAATAAATGACATGAATTTGAGCTCATGGCTCAAGCCGACACACTAAACACTCTGTTTATGAGGCAAATATAAAGATTGTATAGTTATCTATTGTTTGTTGCAAACTTACTTTAAAGGAGTGACTTGTGAAGGGGATTAATTCAGCTTATACCAACAGTTCAGTCTAGTACAATTTCTTTCCCTTATTTGATATACCAAACATTATTAATTACCAATAGTCAATTAACAAATTGGTTAATTTTTAAAAAATTGATTCTTGTGTTGTCAGGTAAAAGAAATAATTGTGCAAAATTTCTGCTTAATCTGAGATTGGGTGTCAGAGAAATAGCATGTACAAACTTTTTACTTGACAGACTGGGTGAATTGATATAAGCTTTGTAATAAAATAAGAAGTACAGTAGTCATTTTCCTCTAGTACATGGTTTATTTCATTTTTAATTTTGTTTACAATAGGACAAATAAATTGTAGTTGTCTTTTTTTTTTTTTTTCAGGCATTTCCTGTACACTTATATGGATGTATTTATAGAACAACTGTTTCCTGAAATCACAACTACAGATTTTCTTAATATGCTGTTTCTTCAATTAGAGTTTTGATATATATATAATATATATATATATATATATATATATTACTTTTTATTGTTTTTACTGACTTTTTAATATATTCTTGGCAGGTACTCTTATTGATGTTTTGGTTATATGTTTCATATATACTGTCCCTTATTTCACCATTTACTCTCATTAAAAATTTGGTTCTTTAAGCTGCCTTTATATATGTAATATGTATGCAGCATGTTTGGAATTGGTGTGAACTGATAGTGTTTACCTATAAAATATGTTCTCTAGGTACCACATCAAAAATAAAAAAACTAATGAATTGATTGTACTGTTTTCAAGGGCTAAATGTCACCTTTTGACTATTATACCCTTTCCACAAGTAACACTTAACAAAAGTATCAAACTAATGCAGCAATGATCTCAACTAATTGCTCATTTGCCAGTATACAATATATGTATTTCCTTAAATGTTTAGCTCTTTTACAGGACCAGTGTCTTCTAGCATCATCTTTGTTTGGAGTAAGGGTAGCTCAGTGAATGTTTGTTAACTGTTTGTATTATATGTGCTTCTTTTTAGTTTTTTTTTTAGAAAGTATTTATTGTTGAATGATATAGCCTGACCAAAAAAATTTAATTGACTGTGATTATTTTTTTTTGTCATTCCATTTTACTAGTAATGTTGAGAATTAAAAAAGAAATTGTAAATAATTTACTGGTCATTATAAATTGGTGCAAATAAAGAACATAGTAGGAATTGGCCTTTTCTTAAAAGACATTTTATTGAAATAATTGTTTAAAAATTATATATAGAATGTCACTTTTGGAAAAGTTCCATTAATACATATTGCATTAGATTTAAGTCACTTGATAGAAGTAACTAATGGTTGAGTGGAATAAGCTGTTTAGCTACCTTCAAGATGAACAAGTCCAAAACCCGACTGGCTGAGCGCCTAAAGACAGCATGGTAATCTTCTCGCATTTGCCCGTCCCATACACACACACATATGTCCACAAAAGATATTGCACCATAGTACACTGAGCATAAACATGAAAGATGCGCTATAGAAAGGCAATTTAAAAAACAATGTTTTTCCTCCGTGAGCCACTTAAAATCTCGCTTTTCCCACCATTATTTTTGCTGTTCCCTCCCCCCTTTCCTTCTCTTACTGGCATGTTGCCTCTACTCTATTTCGGCTCATACAATATAAATAAGTAATGAGCCTATCTCAGGAGTCAAATAAGTCTATAAGAAATATCATATCCAAGCATTTTTATGACTTAACTATTTTTGTCCGCCGGCAACGCCACGTTACTGTCAGTCTGTCACGAAGGCCCCTTCTCAAGGGTCACTAAGGTCAGACACTATATACACGCCCGTATGTCTACCATGGAGTAGCCCTTCTGGCGCGGCCATTTGGGCATGAGAAGTTATGATGAAAATTCACTATAATATACAATAGTACATACATCATCGACCTTCCCCCCCCCCCCCCCCCCCCCCCAAAATCAGTAAAGGTTTTGACTACTTCATTAATACATACCAATATGCGATCTATGGATGGCTGCCTGGTCATGGGGTATGCGCTAGGAATTGTATCAATAGTCCCGTGTTCGAACGCTGCCCGTGTATAGGGATGTTGGAACTAGGATGTAAAAAAAAAATCGAGGGAATATCAGAATCATGTAAAAGAAACAATGATAGGTCAGATTTGGTTGGACTGGCTATATGGGCATTCAGATAAATGTCAGTTGGTCCGATACCCCAATCGGACCGTCGAATGGGCCACTTTGAATTACAAGTCCCGTTAACGTGATAGGTCTTCGTTAATTTGTAGCAACATTTAAAACCACTTAGACAAACATCATGTGAAACACAAAACTAATTGATGATTTGTCAGAAGGTTTAGATAATATTGAGCAAATAGATGCTATCTTGTTAGATTTTTCCAAGGCTTTTGACAAAGTTCACCACCATAGTTGGCTTAAAAAAATTAAAATATTTTGGCATTGATGGTCCATTGCATCAGTGGATTAAGGATTTTCTGAAACTATCAAAAAATCAAAGCCTTATGGTTTATTAAAAAAATTTTATATCAATCAAATAAGAACATAAAACTAAAATCTTATTTAACCAAATAATGGAATATATATATGCTTCCTCTGTTTGGGACCCCTCAACTCAAGAAAATATTAAGGAACTGGAACAGACACAAAATAGAGCAGTGAGATTCATAACTAACGAATATACACATCTGCCTAAGAGTAACATCTTTAGTAAAATCACTAAATTTAGAAAGCCTTAAGGCCGAGAGAAGACTTAAAAGTTAAGTAGCAATTATACATAAAACACTTAAAAATAATCTTCAAACACAAAATCTAATAAAATACTCAAAAAGACACATTCTATGCTATAGAATGCTTCTTCCTCCATAGTGCTATTAGAGCATGGAATGAGTTGCCTGAGCCAGCCAGGTAAACCAGTGACTTGGCAGAATTTAAGTCATTGGTTAACATGCATGACTAGATGCATGACGTGTAGGACGTAATCATCTTTTTTGAAGTAATGTTTGTGTTGTATAAGATCTTAACAGATTTTACTGCTCAATACTAGCCTAATTTTCTGTAAAAAAAAAAAAAAAAAATTGCCTGTGCCCCTTTACTGTGCTTCTGGTAAGCGTCAATGCTTTATACACTTTAAGCGATGAAGTAACATGAGGCCTATGTTTTCGTTTTTTACATAGTTTATATCAACTCTGTCTGTCTGATAAAAAGTTTGTACACATTATTTCTCCAAAACCCAATCTCGGAATAAGCTGAAATAGTGCACAATTATCTATTTTACCTCACAACAAAATAATCAATTTAAAAAAAAGTAACCAATTAGTTTATTAATTATTGGTTATAAATTATTTTGTTTGATATCTCGAACAAGGTAAAGTAATAGTAATGGGCTATGTTGGACTAGTCCGTTTCGTTTCTTTGATTAAAAAGCCGAATCGCAAATTATGCCGGAAGTGGCTTTTTTCCTTATAAATCTTTGCATTTTTCAGTTCTCTTTTTAAATTAAACTGACATTATTATGCTATAATTTTAAGTGTGCCTGATAGAGAACAAAATTCTGCACAAAAATACGGGTAATTGGGATATAACCCGATAGAGGCTATAAAAATAAAAGACCTGAAACTAGCGCGTGAAACTACAGATTTACAGTACCTTATTAGATGAGTATTTTACCCAAGATCTGTGTTGTTGTTTTTTAGGACTAGCTTATTTCATGTACCCGACATTTTCCGATACACAATTTCATACACAAAATAATTGTTAAAAAAAATTGTAGTGATTTTAAACTTTAAATGATTACTTTAAAAGGTGTTACTCTAATCAATTTTGAATATTAGTTTCTTATGAATGTCACTGTCTATTTTGTGTCTGTTCTAGTTTCTTAAATTTTTCTTGAGTAAAGGGGTCGTGTTTTATCCTAATAAGTGTACCTGATTTCTCCTCGTAGCCTTTGTAAAATATTGGTCCTAAATAATTTTATGTTCATAAACGAAAAATCACATGACTGCATTATGATGAATGTACGTGTTAGTTCAATATATTTTATATTACTAGGTAACTAAAAATAACTGCATGAATTTTCATTTTTTTCTATTAGACAAAGTCATATGGCAAATTTCTGTTTATATCCTTATTCTAAAATATTCTAAAGAATTATTTTTAATAGTTTTGAAAGTCTCACTGTTAATATTACAAAGAGAGTTTGTGTTTTTTGCAAATGTACACAATGTACGCTATGAGTCAGTCCATCTCTTCTAATTGTGTAGATATTAATGTAAAAATTTATGGTCTGAATTTATGAAGTTACAAACTTCAAATAAATAATATATTGCCTCTTCCATAAAAATGTGTATTTAAAAAAATAAACGTATCCAATGCTCGAGATCCTGCTTGTATACTTAGGCCCTATATGAATCGATCCGGTATCAATGTATTACGTAGCATAACCCCGCAAAAAAAAAATTTATGAAAGAAGATTGAGATATACATATATTTTTGTGAAGGTACGCACCGGCACGGGATACCGGCACCTTTTTTCAATGTCGGGAAAAATGATTACTTTTCTTGTATTTCAAAGTTAATTGCTAATTTATTAGTAGTTGAAAGTTAGAAAATCTATTACTGAGTACCGGCACTTTTTTTTTTACAAAAAAAATCACTTTATATGTGTACTAATCGACCGGCTGTGTAGCATACGCCGCTATTTTGCAGGGCCAACCTTAGGCCACTGCAGCCTATGCGACCGTAGTGGGCCCCGCACTTTTATAGGACCCGCGCTAATTTTAGGTGTAACTTATAAGATTTCCCGCGGCCTCCTGTCGATTTAATAGGAGGTCTTGGAAATCTCCTGTAATTGCAAAATATACGAAAAAGTCCTGGAAATATCCGGAAATAATTAAAATCTTTTGAAAACTTATACAAATCTCCTGAAGTATATAGACGAAAATTGCCATTTATTTTCGCCTCTTAAATTACCTAGGATAACTCCCTCCGTCCGAGTTGCAAAATTAAAGAGTGATCTTTCCATTGTGTCCAAAGTTTTGAGCGTGTTCTGTCGCCTCGATAGTTGCTACAGAGTACATTACTTCCCCCCCCCCCCCCTTTTTTTTTTTCGTGAGGTAGAAATAAAAAAAAAAGATGATGTTGCAACGGTCCCTGCTATTTTGTGACGTACTCTCCCCCCCCCCCCCCTTTTTCATGTTTTCTCGTGGACTATCCGCAGAATGATCTTTCCTTTGCTTCTTGCTACTCGACAAAAATCTTGAGGGAAGAAGAGAATTATATATATAGAAGATACTTAGCATACAGCTTAATTTTTTCTTTTTTGAAGTAACGTCTGTATTATATAACATAAGATAAGATTTCAGCCGACATGCCGTATTATTAACAACACCTTTATGTGAAAGTCTCAATCATCTAGAGTCTTAGACAGTCATTACTTTAGACTGGATTTAAGTAGAGTCTAGACCTAGATCTATTAGGCCTATTACTATTTAAAAAATAAAAATAATCAGTCATTAGACATCATTAGCAATTTTATTATTAGGTCTAGGCATTGAAAAGTAAATCTATTAATAATCCATAATGGATTTAGATCTAGACTTAGACATAGATCTAAGTCTAAGTAGACTAACTTATTAAACAAGTAGAAGTTTTATAATGAATATTGTATAGATCTAGATTATAGATAGATCTATAGACAGATCTCTAGTCTACTAGATTAAGTATAGATTATAGTGAATGTATTAAAGTAACCTATTATTAGATCTATGTCCTATGTCTATATCTAATAATCTAAGAATTAATAAACTTTAGTCTTCAGTAATATCTAGACTTTATTCTAATTTAAAAAATTGACTATAGGCATAGCATAGGATAGACTCGGCACTCTAGTCTCAAGATAGAATCTATACTATTACTAGATTCGATTTTTAAAATATAGATCTAGACTATAATTAGATTATAGATCTAAATACAGTAATGGAGAGATGATATGCGGTGTCAGCTAATAGAAACAACCTGGGTTATTCTAAACTCTAATACTTGGTATGTAATAGTAAAATAGCAGATACCTAAATAAATCGTAACTAGAAATCAAAAACCTTTATTTATTGTAGTATATCTGTGGTTGAATTTTATATAGCCTCGTAACTTCTTCTATAGAGAAATGACTTTTGTCATTTTTTTAAAAGA